CAAGTTAATTTTTCGTAGTTGGAATTAATATATTTACGGAGATCACCATCTTCTGCATAATCCATCACTATCGAATAGACATTTGTAACTGGGTTTTTAGTTATTCCGTGATATCTTAAGCCAACATTAATCAAAGCCTGCTTAGTGAGTTTAAGAGCAGTCTGAATCTATTTTTGAAAAATTGGTTGTATTAGAGATAAAAAGCAACTTCACTTTAGAAAATGTTGATTTTTTACCTCATGTATAAACTCTGGAGTAATTTGTTTTGAATTGTGTAAAGATTTCAACACAACTTCCCATTCACCGCTTCGTTTAAATTTGTTTTCTTCATGATCCCATTTGTCAAGTTCTCTATCCAACCAGGTTGCTATATAAATTGACCCAAAACCTCCTTTTCCAAGATATTCAACGTTGGTAAATCTTTCAAAAGGAATCCATTCGAATATTTCACATTTACGATTAATTTTGTTGCATTCTTTTATTAGATTATCGATATCTTTATCTCCGCTAGACAATTTATCGTTATAAATTCGTTTGTGATATTTGAAACAGTCATCGCAGGAATAATAATTTCCTTGACAAAGAGTACATTTACTACAATCATGAGTATTGTGAACGAAACACTCATCGCAGTATCTATTCTCTTTTTGACAGTAGAAACATTTACTACAATCATGAGTATTCGATGCCATCTTTGGGTGCACTTTATAAAATTCGTTATATCAATATATAAATTGCTTGAATGATGTGTGACAAAAAGCTTCTACATGCAGATTTCTTTTGATGTTGGCGTACATTTACTTTTATTATTTGAACTTCAATGCAAGCGTGTGTTAAGTTAAGTTTTGATGGTTTGCTGTTACATGTGATATATGTAATGTGAAGGAACAATTTTATTGTTAAGTAGCTTAGAATAACGTATTTTACTTTAGGTGAAATATTCTTATCCATTATGTACAGTACATATGTCTAATTTTAAAGCTAATGGCAAAACTTAACTTTTATATTGTGAACATAACATAGCAAAATACTAGTTAATATTAGTAATAATACTACAATACCCCATGGAGAAAGAAAAATAAATTTTATGATCGCGTTTGATAAAACTTTCGTAAATTTAGTTTTTTAACGACAAACTTATAATGAAAGTAAAACTGAATTATTTACAAATAAAAGATGGGAAGTATTTAAAAAAAAACGCACCATCATTTATGCGGATTAACGATTATTGCCTATAATAATGTCAGATCGTTTTTATCTATACGTTCGGATCTTAATCAAAAACGAATTATGCATTTATCACGGAAATTATCGGCCCTGATGGTCAACTGCATCGTTTGCTCGGTCCAGCATATCGGCGAGTTAAACCAAAAAGATCATTTTATAATTTTAATTTCAAATTATTGTTAAATTAATGCTAACATATAATATTGAGACATCGTTCGTTATTAGCGAGAAGCATCTACTTTGTTAATTCTTTGAACAATGAAGTCTTTTCAATATTAATATTAATATAAATACCAAACCTTCGCGAGACATTTGCTGACATTAAAAAAATGCAAATGAAATTATAATTAACTAATAATTATTACTGTGTAGCTAATATAATTTAGCTTAAGGTATAACGATAAAATGGCCACTTGTAGATTTAACCAGTGACGTTCAAAATCCCGACAGTGACTCGCAAAAGAAACTCGCCATATCGTAGATCAAAAAAGTCGTTAATCATTAACACTTAATGCAAATCTGCGCTGCGCAGATTGCGCAATTTTTAACATTCCCGTTCGTATGAAGAGATCCTTTACCTTTTATAGATGACTAATTTCATTGGCAGCTATCATAATGCACAGTTATCATAATGCGCAGTAGGTGATCTACTACAATCAATCAATTATATAGTATAACGAACGATAAAGGATAAAACAAATCGTTTAATTACCACTCTTTTGTCACCTTTGTCTCAATTAAATAAGCGCAAAGCTAAGCTTTATCTATGAGCCAAGTCATAAAGTTCACCGATTTACCAGCTCGTCCAGGTTTTGGAAAGGCTGGACGACCAATAAAAGTTTGGACTAATTTTTATCCGGTGGAAATTCCTAGTATTTGTCTTTCTTTTTTGCTTTGTAAACCTTTAGTTGCATATATATATATATATATATTCTCCATGTACAAAATACTTGGTTCTTAGATGCAATCGTACACCATTACGATGTCGACATTCAGCCCGACGTTCCAGCTGTTTTGAGCCGGCAAATTTTTGCTCACTTTCAAGTAACCGAACGTGGGGGAGTTCTGGGTGGGGTAAGAGGCGTTTATGACGGTATCCGTGTTGCTATTATTTGTGAACAAAATGGTTTTTTGTACTTTAGGAGTTATTGACTTTTTGTATTAGGTCGAAGAAATGTTTATACAATCGGAGAATATCCGTTTGGAGATTATATATCACACGATGTAAATATTTCTTTTTTTTTTAAACAGAGTTTTTTAAGTATTTAAATAGAGTAAGTGGACAATCATGCACGTAATTTTTAATTTTACACTCTTAATTTATCAACATAGATACCTTTTCCGTCAAATGATTCGAATCGCCCTCCACGTCAATTTAAAATAAAGTTAAAAAAGGTAGCCCAGAAAAATTTGGAAGAGTTATTAAGATTCGTTGAAGGCAGGAGCTCGCGTGATAATGTTGCAACCGGTAACTAACGTCACCATTACCACAAGCAAAAATATTTTTATTTATTACATGATTCGTTGACGGAAAAATTTATTGCTATTTACTTTGACTGATCGCATCATGTTTTTATTTATAGGAATTTCTGCTCTTGAGGTTTTGATTAACCAAGCCCCAGCTATGAATTTCATCACTATTGGGCGTCGTGCATTTTTCACTAGGGAGGGAGCTATGCCTATCACTGGTGGATTGGAAGTGTATCAAGGATATTGGCAATCTTTACGTCCTGGTCAAGGTGAATAATAGTATACATATGTATAGGTTTATGAGCATATTCTTTCGATTATAGTATTGTTAATTTATGCCTTAATTTATTAGGTGGTTATTATATAAACTTTGATACGGTTGCGACAGCCTTTTATCAATCAGGTATTTTTCTATGATTTAAAAGTGATATGCATCACAAAGTATATCTAATAAACATGTTTAATAGAAAATGTCGCAACTCTTTTCGCTAAACTCCTCGGTTGTCAAAGAGTCGAAGAACTTCGTGGCAATATATCCCCACAGGATCGATCTAAGCTAGAAAGATCGCTAAGAAGGCTTAAATTTAGAGTTTTGCATCGAGGGGATAATTTCACTCAAAAATTTAGAATACACAAACTCTCAGAAAAAGCAGCCAGTGACCAAACTTTTACTCAAGGCAAGTAGTCATAAGGATGCTTTTTCTCTTCTGTCTCATATGTTGTGTGACTATTAATAAAAGTGATAATTTTCGCATTATTATTCAAAGGCGAAGACAGTGAAGCATCTACGACTATAACTGTACAGAATTATTTTATTCAACACTATAATCGAAGATTACAATACCCATTTTTACCATGTATTCAATTGCAAAGTGGATCGTATTTCCCTGCAGAGTTGTGTGTTCTTGAAGAGGTATGAGGACCCTCAGATGAGCTTAATTTAATATTAAAACAATAACGGAATATTATTATTATGTTGTACAATATTAGGGACAAAGATATGAAAAAAAATTAAGTGATGATCAAACAGCAGATATGATAAAATTCACTTGTCAAAGTGAGTGAATCAATTAGTTATCGATGACGTTTTAGAAAAGGTCTGCTAATTAATTTTACTTATGTGTTTGTTGATTGATTAAGAGCCACATGTTCGTAAAGACAGAATCCAAAAAGGTATCGATTCATTTTCATATGATCAGAATCAAACTTGCAGGGATTGGGGTCTTAGGGTTTCGAGACAAATGAAACAAGTAGAAGCTCGTGTTCTTCCAGCTCCTAGATTAGCTTATCATCCGGTATTTGTTTGTATTTTGTTGTTAATTTTATTATCGATTTAATTAATGAATTTGAGATTTTCACCTATAGTCAGGCAAAGAAGCAAATTTTGTGCCTCAAATGGGAGCTTGGCAACTTGGCCCTGGTAAAAAGGTAAGACAAATATTTGATTAATGTGTCAATATCTGAAGTTTTTAAGAATAATTCATAATTTCGTATTTTGAAAATATCAGATGTTAGTTGGTGCCACCTTAGAAAGCTGGTCAGTGTTAATATTTGCGAATCAACATAGTATAAGACAACAAATGGTAGATGAATTCATTCGAGAGTTAGCTAACACTCTTTCAGAGAATGGTAATTATTATGATTCTCTTTATATTATAATTATTAATGATTTTTTTGTTTCTGATCATTATTAATCGCTTGTTTGTGTCTTTGTAATATAATTATTGATAAACGTAGGCGCGAATATTGTTGATCGTCAACCTCCAAGCAGATATACAAATCCAAATGGAAATATTGAGGAGTCAATTCGTATAGCATTTCAAGCCGCAAAAAATCATTATAAAAAAGCACCGCAGTTAATTCTTTGCATCTTACAGTCAAAGACACAAATTTACGATGAAATTAAAAGAATTGAAGATACAGTCTCGGGAGTACTAACTTCAGTAAATAACTACTTCACATTCGGTTATATCGTGGTAATTAAATGAACATTGATTGTTTAATTTGATTTCCTTTGCTTGCATCATTTAGTGCGCTATAATATCACATAGAAAAAAACGAAACAAGCAATATTATGGTATGCTGGGACTAAAAATCAATAAAAAACTTGGAGGAACCAACATGTCATTACAAAAAGGATTCCTTCCTTTCTTTGAAAACGCTCCGGTATTAGTACTTCTTTTGATCTTTAAATATTCCGCCGGTTTGTAGTTCATGAATCTCATTATTATTATTATTTGTAGACTATTGTATTTGGTGCTGATGTTACTCATCCTGGCCGTCGTATGTATTTTGATATATCATAGAATGATTAACCTTTACGATACCGCGTTTTGCCAACTAACTATTTTCTCAGTCGAAAAAACGCCTAGTATTGCAGCAGTTGTGGGATCTACCAGTTTAATTCCCAATGACTTTGCCACTTCTATCAGATTCCAAGCTTCTCGAACCGAAATAATAGATAAGCTTAAAGACATGGTGCAAGAACTGCTGAAAGCATTCTATAAAAAAACTGGTAAAAAACCTGAGCGTATACTATTTTATCGCGATGGTGTTAGCGAAGGCCAATTTGATGATGTTAAAGATCATGAAGTGGAGGCAATTCGTAAAGCTTGTTTGGCTATAGAAAAAACCTATAAACCTAAGCTTACCTTTATTATTGTGCAGAAACGTCATCATGCAAGGTGAGATTTTAATACGTGCAGATACTGTATAATGAATTCGTTATACTCATTTTATTCGGTTTGATTAGATTTTTCCCAATGAATAAAAACGACGAAGATAGATCAGGCAATTGTCAACCAGGTATATATATATATATATATGCGTATAGATGAAAAATTTAAATTTTATATTAAATCTGCGGATCTTATAAATTTTAGGCACAGTTGTCGAAAAAACTATAACTCATCCTTTAGAAAACGATTTTTGTAAGTTGATTTTGATCCTTTAATTTTTGACATCGTTAGTATAACAATTGATGAAATCAACGAAATACAATGTTATTACATTATTACAGATTTACAATCACATTCTGGAATACAAGGAACATCACGTCCAACACATTATCATATTTTGGAAGATGGTATGTAATTTCTTAATCTTTATCGTTTACAATTTCAAAGCTTGATTTTGATTTGGAGTTTAACTAACCTAAATAAAATCAAAATATTAGAAAACAAATTCACTCCAGATGGGTTACAAACCTTGACATACAATCTATGTTACTTGTATGTACGATGTCCTCGCGCTGTGTCTATGGTGCCGCCTGCGTATTACGCTCATTTGGCAGCTTTTCGTGCTCGGTAAAAACTAGTTAAATTTGGTTTTACTTGTATTTTTCTTACAAAATTATATTTAATGTTTTTTTAAATTATGTAGGAGTTGGATAAAACAGTTAGTTGTGGATGCCAACGCTAATAATGACGAAGTTTCGTTAGAAGATTGCCCTAGCTTGAAAGCGGATTTGCAAAAAACCATGTTTTACATTTAGACTTTGGCTTTTCTTTTTTTAATCGAATGCTGTTAGACGCGTATTTAATCATCGAACAAATATCTTGGACGTTTGTGAACTTGTTAATTTTTAATCTTCTTCCATGTCTATTACCCTCGTATGTAAGATTAGATAATTAGATAATTAGATATGACGTTTGAAAATAATGTTTATTATTTATCGTTATCAAATAAAAATCCCGATCACTTGGTCACACAAGATTAACATCGAGTAGTTTGTTTGGGACTTGATTTCGAATAACCCTATGAAACTATGGGTTTACCAAATATTGTTTTCATCGATTTTAAGCGCACAGAACGCATTGGCTTAACGCGTACACTCCGTGATTATATACAGTTTTCTTATGCAGAGCACCCGGACGCGTACATTGATGATTTCCGCGTTCTCGATGAATTGAGAAGTGACTGCCTGAATTTGGAAGTGCATTACAATGCATTAAACCGACTCCTCAAGTAAATTTTGAGATTTTAGTTTGTTGACCTCTTCACTTTTAGATTTCACGCACATAATAATGATATTTATCTGCTTGAAAATTAGATATTACGGTCAATTAGTGTTTATTGGCTCAAAATTTCCAATAGACGTAGGCCAGAAAATTGGCGTATTTTCCTGTTGAAATTATCTTGATCTAATTTGAATCTGTCTAACGTTTTAGGTAGGCATTGAATTTCCTTGGTCGCTCGCATTTTCTGAAGACAAAAAACTCAGTATGTTTTGGATCCTCATCCTCATCGTATTATGCCATGCATTCAAGAGATAATTTTCTATCGACCAGCGATTTATATTATTTATGTTTTTCTTAAGTCGCACACAGGAATTTTTGTTATGAAAAAGCCTGTGTACTGTTTAACATTGGTGCTATGTATAGTCAACTTGGCGTCGCTGAAAATAGATTCTCCGCATCCGGGGTAAAAAAAGCCAGTCAACATTTTCAGTGTGCCGCAGGATGTTTTAGCTACTTAAATGAGGTCGTTGTGCCAGAAATGAGGTCAGTACCTCCTCTTGATATGACAACACCCGTGCTTAATTGTCTAGTGAATTTAATGTTGGCACAAGCTCAGGAATGTTTTTGGCAAAAAGCTGTGAATGGTAATTTTTAGAGACCTGCATCGTTCTTTAACCCTTTGAAACAATATCATTTATGAATAAATCTCTTATAGATAAATTAAAAGATGGCACTATTGCGAAATTGGCGGGACAGGTTGCGGACTTTTATGAAGCAGCTCATGAACTAAGCAACACTGATCCAGCTATTGTAAAGCTACTGGGGCAGGTACTACGCATTCTGAATTTAATAGAAAAGACGAATTATTAGCTATATGTGTTTATTCAAAATATTGACCTATTACAGGAATTTATCACGCATCTCCAAGTTAAATCCTGGCATTTTTTTGCAGGATCAGAATTCCGCAAATCTTCTGAAAATATTAGTCAAAATCAATACGGAGACGAAATAGCAAGATTAAAAGTTGCCGAAGGATTGATAAAACGCGCATTAACACAGCAAAGGTATCTAAGAGATTCCGTGATAAGTGACTTAAAGGTTGATATTTAATTTTCCGCGTTTTTTGATGTTCGAATCGATTTCCTGAATACTTAGTCATTTCTTTTTTGTCCAAATAGTCGCTCGAGAAACCAATAAATGACAATTTAAGTCGAGCTGAAAAAGACAATGACATAATCTATCTGCATACTATTCCCTCAGCTTCATCATTGCCTTCAATTGGGCGTGCTAAAATGGTCAGCGCGACTTTGCCACCCGAAATCAAAGATCCAATTTCCATGATGAATGAAAAATCATTATTGGGTGAACCATTGTTTGTAAAACTTGTTCCTTTCGCGGTTCATCAAGCTATTAGTGTATATTCGGATCGCAAAGATACTTTAGTGCGAGAAGAAATCATTGGCAAGTTACAAGAACTGACAAGTATTTGTAAAAGGTTTTAATATTTCACCAAAAATTTTGGGTTTTATTTTGTGCCTTCTGTACACTGACGAACAGAGTGGATTATTTCGATTGATACCTTTTTTTTTTTTTAGCACGCTGCAATCTTTGAAGTTGCCGGGGTCGCTAGAAATTCTAGAACAACCAGTTGGATTGCCATCATCCTTAATTCAAAAGTCTAATGAAATTAGAAATGCTGGCGGATTTGAATTTTTGAAGGAAAAACTTGAGATTTTACAAGAATTAGAAAGCAAAGACACTGCAATCCTAGAAGAGGCAAGATTATATTCTTTATTTTCTTGAAGATTTCTTAATCATTATGTTATTACATGTAGTGCTTTATCTATTAGGCTTTTGCGTTATTAGATCAAGAGATGATTGATGATGAAGAAATGCGGGAATTGTATCCGCAACAATGGCAACTTCCTCCTTCCGAATCAGTAAACCAGGTACTTGTGCAACAAGGACTCAAACATCGCGATGCATTGAATCTTGCACGAAATGGAGATAGTGCTATAAAAAAGAAATTAGATGATTGGTCAACCATAATAGAATTACTTGGGGCAAGTCAAGTAAGTATAAAACCACCACTTTTTCCGATAAAATAAATTTTTACTTATAATTATTATTCTTAAAAATATAGCAAGAATTAGTCCGTGCAGTTCCTTCAAGTCAGGGTCAAGCTGAAGATCCCAGTGCAACCGAACTTAGGAGTCTATACAATGAAGTTCAGCGAATGATGAGTAATCGAAAAGAACGAATCCAAGAAGCTCAAAAGTTTGGACATTCGGACGATATCGGTAAATATAATCATTATAATGGAGCTATCATAATTATAAAGCTAACTAACTTTTCAAATAAAGGTCCTGATCTTCGGAAGGAAGCTGCCAAAATAACCTCGAAAGGCATCGGGGTCAAGATCGAGTCTGCCCATTTCGAAGACTTTTTCGCACAGCGTCTAGCGAGATATGAACCTTTCCTGCAAATGGTAAAACAAGAGACTGAGAATCAAGAAAACTTAATTAATTCGATTATAGTAAGTTGATTTCAAATTCATGTCCTGTTAATTTAGCATTATTCTTATTTAACCGAGATTTTTTTTTAGGAATTAAATCACCTTTTGCGCGAATCACGGCAACACTCAGATGCTAACTCGGCACGTGTTAAGGCCTTGCAAAACTTGGAAGCTGGATACGATAAATTCAAAGAAATACTTAAAAATATAAGAGAAGGAGAACAGGTATGTAATAGAGAAGGGCGTTTGTGTTACTTAAAATTTAATATCATTGGATAGAATCTAACTGATTTTTTTATTGCATTTAAAATAGTTTTATCGAACCTTCGAAATTCCTCTCACCGAATGGAAAAATGCTTGTCAAAAATTCGTAGAGAGCCGAAAGCATTATGCTGAAAATCATCTAGAGTCAGTCATGAAATTTCTTTTAAAATCTTATTTTTACAGCTTTATTCTCACGAATTACGTTATGTATATAGTCAGCTCGTAAAGTCGTTGTCCTCCATGAGTATTTCAAATCAACAGCAACCACAACCATCTGCACCTCCTGCATCGGAAATGCATACACCTTCAAAACCAGTTACCGCACGGGGTGTTTGGACTTCAGGTAGTCCTGTTAAATTTATGTCGTCTTCTCAGGTGAATCAGAGACCTCCATCCCAACCTTCATCACCCAGTTCTCCATGGACTCGTGGTATGCCCGTATCCTTTACATCATCACCATCTACCGACCAACGCCAACCTAATAATCCAACCCCTGCCAAAGGCTGGCATAAAGGGCAAGGGATTCAATTTAGTGAGAGGGGATCTTAGGAATCTTTGTTGAAGTGTTATTTATTAGATTGTTTTTTTAATAAGGCTAATGATTTTAGTTAATAATATTATTTTTTCATCAATTACATATGGCTTAAATTAAATGTTATTCGCATATTTTAAATGCATAAATTAATAGTTTCTTGCTCAAGCAACAACTCTTTTGGAAATTAATTCACGTGTCACAATAAAGATAATACGCGCGACGCGAAGTGGTATTTACCAATCACGAGTAGTCCCGTGTTTAATAAATTTCGTTGTTTCAGATTGGTTTACTGATTTACTATAAAATTTCCTAAATTCTTTTCTATTAACAAAATAAAAAGCCTTCAATCGCTCGTTTCTTTCTCTTCAAATATTAAATACACATCTTTAGATTTATCACTCTTCTTTTATTTAAATTCAGGAAAAAATGGTTAGTATCCTTACCTTTTAGTTAAAGGTGACAAAAGTTACATAAACCATACATTTTTAATTTTGATACATATTGATTGTATTTAGGCTGATGCACCTGCCGGTGGCTCAAGAGGAGTAGTCAGGTAAAATACTCTACTTTTCACTTTATTAAGATTTCATTTATGTGTCTTAAATATACTTTGTTCTTTGTCTTTTTAAATGTACTTGGTTTTATTAGGAAACGTCCCTCTAGTAATAGTACAAGACCAGTATCACGCGCCGGCAACTCTTCAAGCATGTTGAAAATGTACACCGACGATGCACCTGGTCTCAAAGTGTAATTATCATCAATCATATTTGCGATCTATTTAAAGTAATATACTAATTTCATGTTTTCTTGTACGCAACACAGAGATCCTGTTGTGGTCATCGTTTTAGCGCTTGCATTCATCGGTTCTGTGTTTATTCTACATATTTATGGGAAATTCGCGCGGAGCGTTTAAAATTTAAACTTGAAATTATGCTTTCAAGTGAACTAAATTTATATTATTAATGTTCTTAAAAATTATAAGTATTTAATGTATTAATTATATAAATTTTTAGTTTGGACATTTTTCTCAACTCTATAGATAATATAATCATAATATTAATAATAACAGCATAATTTGCATTTCCGGATGGAAAAGAAAAATATTGGGAAAAAAATAAAAAAATAATGAAATATGTGTTAATTTAACCTCAAAATCTTTATACATTCTATTTTCTACTTTATGTTTATTTTCATCATTAAATTATTTTTAATTATCTCAATTTATCCATTGATTCATTCATTGATCCGTTAATTCGCTGACTATTTCCCAATCACCACGTGGATTTTCCTTCCACAAAGAGATTTTATTATCACCACAGGCTACCGCCAATATATTACCCGATAATGACCAACTAACTCTCCAGACAACATCAGGAAAACGTTCTGGTTGAAGAGATTTCTTGTTCCATTCTGATTTTGAGTTATCCTGAGTCCAAATAAGTACTGTTTTGTCCTGTTTTTATTCATGGATATGTCATGACTCTGTAAAATAATGATATATCAAAAAGAAAAAAACAAATTCTTTACCTGTGAGCAACTGGCAAGGTAGCTTTTTGGTAGACCAATGTTCGGAGCCCAAGCCACATCACGTACCCAATCGGAATGTCCTTCAAGGCTTTCTTCTTCTGTCCACGAATTAGATTCTTCTCTTTTATTTACATGCAAATATGATTGTTAGATTTTTTATTGTAATAAAGATAACGAGAAATTAAGTTTATATAAACTATAAACCTATAAGCCCAAATTTTGACTAAATTATCACATCCGCCTGATACGAATCTTTTTGCCTGTTTCAAATTTGGTGCACCGCCCGTTACCTGGACAAGTGACCCGGGCACTGTGGCGGGTGCCCAACTAACAGAATTTGCGCCTATGCCATGAGCCTCGAACATATGAGCATCCCATGTACCATCATCTATTTAATCAAAGAAACAGATGCAAAAGTTTTAATATTGTTCTATCCCTATATCATTTCAATCATTCAAAGACAATTAATTACCTTTAAATGTGAGTACAGAGACCTTTCCATCAGAAGAGGCACACGCAAGGATAGGACCAAAGTCATGAGGTGCCCATGCAACCGAATTTACTTCAAGTTTAGAAAAATTTATTATAAAGATCATTGTCCGATATTAAGGTGGCGCTAAAACAACAATTTACCAGATGCTGTGTGCATCGAATGTTCCTTGATCTTTGACCAATTTCCGTTTTGTTCTTTCCAAATAATTACTTTGGTATCGTATGAAGATGAAGCAAGTATATTTCCGAATTTTGGATGCGCCCAAGCAATTTGCCATACGGGACCTTCGTGGCTACGTATTAAATTTTTTTATCAAAGTTAAAGTTACGAATGACGGTGATAATGATGATGATGATGATGATTTAATCATTAACGAAATCAGTTAATTTGATGAATACCCTTTCAATGTTTCAATTAGCCGCCGATTCTCGCCGTCAATTTCGAATATTTTAATAGAACGATCGGAAGAACAAGTGGCCAATTTTTTGCCATAATAGTCAAGTTGAGCATCATGCTTTAATATTAAATTCGAAGAATGTCGTTATTACTGTTTGATTTATCCTTGATCTTGTTGGAAAATAAACTTGATTACATGAAAAGAACGCGAAACTTACAATCATATCCTCGTGTTGTGTTTCAAGAGCATGTTGATCGTATAAAGTTGCCTGAAATGTAAATTAATATCTGCCTGGTCAAAAAAATTTATTTGTTAACAGACATAACAAGTTGAAGAAAGAAAAATGCAACGCTACCATTTTATTATATTACGTTGTCTTATCGTTTGAAAATCGGGAAATTGCAAAATTGCAAATTCTGACTATGAATAAAAAATCTACCAACAATATATCAACAACACATCAATCTCTGTATTACAAATGAATTTTCTGAGATCACATGTAAAGTCAACAACAAAATTTAGATTTCTTCTTTTAACTTCTCTAACGAATCTTGTGAAATGTACAAATTGAGACCATTGGTACGCAGTTCATTGTATAAAACTCGAGCAACGAATAGTAAGCAGAAAATTTTAATAGATTGCGGTAAACCCTGGTTCGAAATGCTTACAATTCGTTAATTTCGTTAATAACGGTGTCAGTCCCAAAGTTCTCGAAAATTGCCCCTCTAGGTTCACAATTTGCTCGATTCTCAAATACGCCGAACCTAAAGCTTCCCTCTGCACAATCACAATCTTCACAAAAACAATCACCATCACCACCACCAAAGAAAACCTCTGAAGAATATGTATTCAAAGAACCGTCGTTAATAGAAAACACTACACAGCTTTTCTTTCTGACGGAAATCTTTCGGGGTATGTGGCTTGTGTTGGAGAATTTCTTTCGTCCCCCATATACTATATATTATCCATATGAGAAGGGCGCTTTGAGCCCTCGATTTCGAGGAGAACACGCTTTAAGGCGATATCCAACAGGTACTTGATTTTTGTAGGCGTGATTAACTTGATTGATCTGTTACTGATCTGCTTTATTGGTATTTTATTATGGTATAGGGGAAGAGAGGTAAAAAATATTTGGAATTTTGTTAGATTTTCTTTAATCACAAACTATTTATAAATTATATTTTATTTTGATTAGATGTATTGCTTGTAAACTTTGTGAGGCTATTTGTCCCGCTCTAGCAATTACTATTGAAGCTGAAGCGAGAGAAGATGGCAGTCGTCGCACTACTCGTTATGATATTGATATGACAAAGTGCATGTAAGTGTCAATGCAAAAATAAACATATCATTTCTCATTCCTATTTTACTTGAATATTAATAATCCTTTTTCTTTTAATTCAGATATTGTGGATTTTGTCAGGTAACGTTTAACTCTTCTTGTTATATATATTGCTTTCATTCTATCTTCACTCGGATGATTTAAATAACAAATGATTAATAGGAGGCATGCCCAGTCGATGCTATTGTCGAAGGACCAAACTTTGAATATGCCACAGAAACACGCGAAGAACTTTTATATAATAAGGAGAAATTGCTAGCGAATGGCGATAAATGGGAACCGGAAATCGCGAAGAATTTAGAGGCTAATCAATATTATGTGTAATTTTTCTGACATTAGTTTAATTAGGTTATTTATTTTTTAGGCGTGATTCGTATAAAGATAATTAAAATCTAAAGAGTATGATTCAATATATCAATAATCTCAGCATCAAAAATTTTACATGCTGTCATTTAAATCCGATTTTATAAATAATCTATATTTTAAGAAAATGCAAGGAATTTTCTTTCCAATTTATCCAAATTTTGACTGATAGAAAATGACTTTGAGTACCAATTAATATCTGGTCCATGAATATCGGTTATCACTTTGCGTAAATGCGTTTGTTGACTTGGTAATAGCAAGCCTTTCAATTCAACTGTATACTTTTCTGAATTATTATAACTAACGACTCCTTTATTTACAACCTAGAAAATAAATTAAAATATGATTATTATTCTCATCATTCTTAAATAAGAAAAAATAATAAGATTTACTGTTGCTTCTTTCTCATCGGCATGCCGAAAAGCGTGCGATGCGAGGAGTGTTGGAAATCCTTTGGCTCGATTGTAATATGCAGGCTCTTTCCATTCCAACAAGTATTTAAAGAGAGCATGTACCGATTTGATTCCTTCGATAATGAGTAGTGATTCATGTTCACCATTTACATCTCTTTTAAAGTATAATTGCATACAATATATGTTTACGAAGTGTATTCACATGTTATGTGTCATCAAAGAATGAAACTCTTTACCTTCTTTTACGCTTTCTCTCCGTTTTGTGGGTTTCGTCATTTTCATCAAGAGGTCCAACCTGATCAAAATACTCATCATTTTCTTCATTATATAGAGGCATATTAAAAGAAATACCTGCAGCATCAACAGTTTAGTATTTTTATAGAAAGATGCGGACGCAGAAGTAATAATTAAATGTACTTTTGGAGGCGAGTTCATCTCGAAGTGCTTTATTAGATGTGTTCAATATTCCCTCGAATTGTTTTTGATCTTCCGTTGAACAACAACAACCCGGTGAAAGGAAAAGAACAGTAAAAGAGGAATTATTGTAGTAGAAATAAGGAATCTCTCCTTTATAAAAACTACGATACAACAAGATGAATGTCTTTTTCCAATTTTCTTCCATCTCTCGATAATATTTTAAGAGTTTCATTTCAGCCGTATAACTGACGGTGTTTGGTTTAAGATAAGGGAAATTTGGTTTGCAGAATAGACTTTCCAATGATTTAACTTGCCCGTATTCGAATTGATTCGGAGGATAAATCCAATGTTTCAACGATTTCCTGAATTCCAGACGTTGAGATTCGTGCGTCTCCAATGATAATTCTGTTGAAGGATTATCATTTGATTCTTCCATCTCGTCAAGAAATACCTCATCGTCACTTTGGAGAAGATTGCCCATCGAAAAAGGCTTATTGGAGGTAATTATAATGCTTTCTTTGATGGTCCAATCATTGAAAAGGAGCTTTGGATTTTGCAGCTGTGAATTGGTGAGTTTTTGAGAACCACCACTATGAATTGTTTGTCCATTAGGTTTTTGAATTGTAACTAATTGATGTCTTGATTTTGAGTCTGAAAACGATTTGGGTGGCTTGAGTGAAGATGTTGGATTATTTTTTACTTGATTGATAATCGCGTTATTTTCCTTGTTAGAAAAAACAGCATTAGGATTTTTCAATAAACGAGATTTTCGCCGAGCTTTCAATTTTAATGACTTAAAATCCGCGTATTTGTCCTTATTAGACAAGGATTCGACTTTATCAGAAGATGCCAACTCCAAGTTTATATTTTTTTCTCGGGTATTTCTGATATTTTGAGGCAAAGGATCAATGGGTGATAATATGCTGTCACTTCCAGTATCTGTAAAGGATTTATCAGAGTTTTTCTCCAACTTTTCTTTGAAAAAAATCGGATGAGTTACAGCATTTTGCGAGCGTAAATCCTCCAAAACTTTATCCAACGATTTCGAAACAACTTTCACTGGAACTGGTTTTGCAGAGAGTGCGTTAAATAATCTTTGTTTTAGCGCCCCAGACCAGACATTAAATTTCTCTTCTTCTTCCTCCTCCTCTTCCTTTTCTGATAATTGATTAGTAACTTCTTTCAAAGTTGTACGACTAGAAGCTTTCGCTAAGTTTGTAGATTCATTATTTTCAGATTTCTTTGGTTTCCTCCGTCCTTTTGGAGACTTTTTTGTGATCTTTATGGATTTTTGCTGTTGCTGTTGTTGTTCTTGTTTTTGTGCCTTAATTCGTTTACTTCTTCTAACTTCTTCCATTTTTCTTTGAATCGAATTGAATATGAATAAAGATTTACACTAGTAAAAAATCTAATTTACGCGTTCTTTTTATATCGAAGATCAAAAAACGCGAATTCGCGTTATTGTCATGTGATATTTTGTAATAATAAATCTTTCCATGAATATTCTTAATTTCTGCGCATTCTTTATTTTGACACTTTAATTCCGGCATCCATTTTTTCACAGCTTAATGTAATGTTATAAAGGATTTGAAAATGAATTTGTATAATCTTTTTATTTAGTTAAACTAACTTTGATAAAGCTCGCTTTCATTGACTTTATTTTCTTTACGATAATAATGACCAGCTAATGCTAACTAACAATTCCAATAAAATACGTATTTAACAGTACTTGGTATTAATAAAAATATGTTTAAAGATAGGATGAAATTCAGACCGAATTGCTACGTTACTGCCTTTGGATATTTGAGCTAGCATCTATTGAATCAGCACAATAATTTCTGGTCAATGATCTTCCGGTTCCAACTGTACATAACAATAAATTAAACTCTTCCTTCATATTAAAAAAACAAAAGAATTTGAATCACTAAATGCAATATCTCTCATTTGTTCAAACCGCCATGTTCATATATTGATATAAATATTTTATAAAGTGCACCCAAAGATGGCATCGAATACTCATGATTGTAGTAAATGTATTTATTGTCAAGAAGATAATAAATACTGCGACAAGTGTTTAGTTCACAATACTCATGATTGTAGTAAATGTACTACATGTCAAGAAAATGAGTACCGCTGTGTTGACTGTACCAAATATCACAAACGAATTTATAACGATAAATTGTCTAGCGGAGATAAAGATATCGACAATCTAATAAAAGAATGCAACAAAATTATTGATAAAAGTAGACATAAAATATTCGAATGGATTCCTTTTGAAAGATTTACCAACGTTGAATATCTTGCAAAAGGAGGTTTTGGTCAATTTATAAAGCAACCTGGTTGGATGGAGAACTTTACAAATGGGATCATGAAGAAAATAAATTTAAACAAAGAGGAGAAATTGAAGCTGTGTTGAAATCACTACACAATTCAAAACAAATTACTCAAGAGTTTATACACGAGGTAAGAAATGAACATTTTCTAAGGTGAAGTTGCTTTTTTATCTCTAAACAACCAAGTTTTCAAAAATAGATTCAGACTACTCTTAAATTCAATGTTGATTTTGGGCCTAGCTTAAGATATTACGGAATAACTAAAAACCCAGTTACAAATGTATATTCGATAGTGATGGATTATGCAGAAGATGGTGATCTCCGTAAATATATTAATTCCAACTACGAAAAATTAACTTGGTATCAAAAATTAGAATATTTAGATGATATAATCTTTACCCTGTCAGTCATTCACGATAAAAAGTTTGTACATCGTGACGTTCATCCTGGAAATATATTAATATTTGATGGTTGGAATTCATGTATTGCTGATTTTGGACTTAGCATTCCAACAAATATAGAAAAATCTAAGCAAGAAATTTATGGAGTAGTTCCTTATATGAGTCCAGAGGTGCTAAATGGAAAGCCATACACTTACGCTGCAGATATTTATAGTTTTGGAATGGTTATGTACGAAATTGTAACAGGTGAACGACCATTTGGTGAACGGAGTCATGATCATTATCTTGTATATGACATTTATAAAGGAGTACGACCTACAATACCAAATAATATTCCCGGATTGTATAAATTTATTATTGAAAAATGTTGGGATCCTATTCCAGAAAACAGACCAACTGCTGGGGAACTTTGGGAATTTATTGACTCTATTCAATATCCAGATAGGCATTGGGAACTGAATACTTTGTATTATCAGTACTACAGTTCATTAGAAAATCCTAAAACAGATGAAGAAATCAAAGAGTGCCTTAAATCAGAAAGACAGCAATTAAATAAACTTGATGAGGAGATGAAATCACAAAAAAGCATACCTACGAATATAAACAAAAAACAACAAATCCACTCAAAGGCAATTTACACCAGTCGAAAGTTTACTTCAAAATTAATATCAATTCCAACTGATAGAGGTACGTACTTTTATTTTATATTCAATCAAAATGACATTTCAGATTGATTTAAAAATATATCAAATATTTAGGTTTTACTACAAGTGTTAGCTTATATATTCCAAATGAAGGTAAATCACTATATGTATTACTGTTATTTTTTATTAAAAGGTTAAGTTTATGTTTATATATTTGTCATGTAACTTCAGAATATGTCTCTACTGAATATGATATAGATATCAATCTTCAAATCAAAGCAAATGAAGGTAAATTTATCAGTTTGCTACAGTGATGATTATTAATTTATTCTAAATTTCGTTTGTTATATTTCAAAGATCATAAAACGAAAAATAAACGTTCTATTGAAAACATGCCAGAAGAATCAAATAAACGAGGAAAAATTTCATTTTTATTGAATTAATCATAATTCGATTATGTAAGAGTTGTTGATAGTAAACTTTTATTCGTAATTAACATCAATTCAGATATTTATGAAATTTATATCGAAAATCTATTACGTACTTAGCCATTATCAATCATTAATTTATCAGCAACGTTAATACTTGACTTACCTTTTAACACAAAAATAGGATATATCTCCATTTGGAATTGTACTACTGTTGTATACCGTAACTCTCCCGTCCGGGGGATCCGGCGATCCGGGGTCCTGTAAGGATGGAGGTCGAGCCGAGCTCGACCCCGCCCCAGCTTGGGGGCCCGTTAACTCGTGGCATAGACTATTCCAATAAACCCTTCAATATCTCATGGATATGAGTGACCTTTTCATACAAAATAATCGTTCTATCTGTATTGTATCACAATGAGTTGCAATGGGGATCAGTTTCCTAATTTGGATTCTGAATTTTAGGAGAATACTGATATTGATATTTTTTAATTTAATATGTTTAATGTGAAGGATCATGTTAAAATATCACAATAATTTTCTGATGTGATATAAAAGAATTATATCAGCTATATAAATAATACTATGATATTTCTTAATTTTTCATTATAATTTCTTGAGAGAAATTATTAACATCATTTTTAAAATAATTATAGTTTAATGATTCATCTTTATATGTATTATATATATAAATTTATTTAATATAACTCATAAACTTTTTAATTTATTAGATATAAATAATTAATAAAAAAATATCTTAATCTAAATTTAATACAAAATATAAATTATATATATTTATAAATTTTTTTATTTATCACTTTCAAAAAAATCACAGATCTGCAAAATTCTGGCCAGAATTTTCAGCATGCATAACGATCGACCAAATGCGCAAAAATGTAAAAGTGATATTTCAAAAACATGTTCTATTAAATCAAAATCATGTAGAGTATAATATTATATTATTATTACATGTATTACTGTTAGATTTTATTATCTTCAAGTAATCTTAATAGTTCATCAACATTATCTTCGATTCGTGTCGTCTCTATATAATCTTGTAAGCTCTTATTCTCATGATCATAATCAATGAGTAAGGAACTTAAAAATTCTTCATCTGCTTCTGGGAAAAGTCTGGATAAATTTAGAGTAGTAGAACAAGGGAACATTGCATCTCCGAGCCGACAAAAATAGTCGTGCCAATCTTCATTAAAATGGGAATAATGAATAAGTGTTAATGACGATAAAAAAAGAATGATCTTGCACACTTACCAACATCCTCGCGAAATTGAATTAAACTTTCTATAGTCTTGTATGTTGCTGTCTGTCTAAGTTGTTCTATAATCTCATAATCTGACAAACTGTTGGTATTCGTTAAGGTTTTCCAGTGATCACTAAGTTAAACAAAAAAGCTCGATTTAGCATAGATTTGATTATGAAAATATCATGTAAGAAATCGAGGAACCTTACCCATCGTGTAAATAAATTCTACGCCATATGGTTCCTATCACGATTTTATATGTCGAATCCACAGAGAATCGGGACTAGACAAAAAATATTTAATTAATGAAATTTGACAGCTTCATCATTGAAATAAAAAAATTTACCTTGTTATCATAATCTACTATTTGAATAGCATGCACAAAATGCTCGGTCTCCACAATATCAGGAAGCGTGAGAAGATCCACAAAATCGTATGGCTTCAGTAATTTTTTGTTTAGTACTTGTTTAACCAAGTGCAAGAAAACCTAAATCATAGTAACATTTTCGTATAAAATCGTTAATATTTGATTAAATCAATTTATTCATGTACTAAGATTACCTTGGCAAATGTTGGTTTCTCTTGGGGTAAACTTGGAGCAAATTTTTGCAAAATACTTTTCGCTTGGGTTTCCAAATCAGCTCTATAAGTGCCCGCTGTGCCGATCTCTGTAATATATTTATCATATATGTTCTCTTGTCCCTTGTTATACCAAAGATTTGAATCGGTTTCTATAAAAATAATCAATAAAAGATTAAATTAATATATAGGAAAAACAGCAGAAAGACTTACCATCAATAAATCGTTCGGCATCTTCATCCTCAGCTTCTAACATTGCCAATTTAGCAATACTAAGCAAAACCTAATTTGGTACATTACCAGTTTTTAAAAAATCCCATTAAATGCTACGTTATGCGAAGCAATAATGTTGAGCGAGATAACTCACATTTTTTTTCTCAATCTTATTTTCGACACTTGCAGCCCTTGCAGCTCGTTCTGCGACCTCCCGAAAATTTTCCATCCCAATGTCATGCAACCAAGCCAATCTCGAGATATTTCGCTCGTGTAAATATTTCTGAAGTAATTCTTTGTGTTCCATGGCGTGTTCTTCAAACAACAAACTATATAGCCGATCTAATAATAAGAAAATCACGGACATAAATATATTTTGGTTGCACGTGATTTTTGTCAGAAAAAAATGAGTCATACTTTTTTGAAGGTAATAATTATATAGTTCGTAAGCAAACTGTTCTCCATGAACATTGATATATTTTCGAATATACGCGTCACGGTTTTCGGGATTTGAATCGGATTCGACACAAAGAACAGCCAGAGAATGAAAATCTTTATAAGTATCAGCAGTTTGAAAAGCCTCCTCTTTTTTATCAATTTTAGCTGCGAATAAAAAAAATTAAATGTATTAAAAAATCTATGATAGATGTTAATAATGGTCACAATGAATCTCAATTTACCCAGCGATTGCAATATTCCCAACCATCGGTTTCGATACACCTGTTCATTAATTGATTTATTCATGTCCCTATAACGAATTTGAGTTGCAAATATCCTTATGAATAATTTATATTATATAGTTCGCCAAAAACTCGTGATAAAAATACTTGCAATATGAATCGATCTGTGCTCATTCCAAATAAAATATTTGCCAATTGTACAGCTTGTGATTTCAATGACGATAAGCCGGCCATATCATAATGTTCAACCAAAGAAATTGTTTTATCAAATAGAAAATTAAAGACTTCTATGATTTCTTCTTGAGCTATTGAATAATTAAAAGTCATATTTAGAGCGAGTGTACGCGAGCAGGAAGAATCAATGATACAAAGATGATGATATGTTACTTGTAAAAGAATATCTATTATCCCTTTCTGTAAGTTCATACTCTATACCTAGGTCTTTGCGAAATTCAAAAACCCCTTTCATTGTATACTATATACATAAACCACAATAGTCCATAAGTCATGATTAAATCTGCAAATACAAAAGGCAAAAACAAATGTTATATTCACCAAGGCAATAGCATTCGCTTCTTCGATCAGCTGAACTTCTGTCTCATCACGATATTCATCCAATTCTTGTTCAACAAGATTGTATAATATCGGGAAGATTTCGCCAATGTCCTTAACCTAGAAATAGTTCAATGAGATTTAGCTTAGATGACATAAAATATAACTAGAAGAAAAAATGTTCGTACATATTTTTTATAAAATACTCTGTTAATATCTTCGTCGGATGCAAATTCGTGATGACGAAAATATTCTTTTATTGCTTCACTCAGGAAATTGATATGTAATAATCCAGATTCTTGTTTCTGCAATCTAATTTAAACAAACAAGTGCTAATTAAATATACATAATTGCCACGTAGGGCATCATCAGTAATAAATGAAGAAATTACCTGTGCTCATGTAATTCCCACATTCGCTTTGCACAAGCCAATTTTTCGGCGTCAGAAAATAGTCGATGACGAGTATCTTCTTTTATCTAGATCAAGACGAGTGACAATTATAAAGAATTAAAGCTAACTATCAAAGAAAAATTCTCTCGATAAGCATAAAAGCCCACACTTTATGATAAAATCCACAAGTCTTTATGAATTTGACAAGATGTATCGCTCGATTGAGTCGATAATTCAGATGATTATTTAGTATAAGCGTATCAGTTATATGACTCGACTCTAACATAAGAGGATAATTAGATTGTTATTATGTCTCGCATAAAATAGGTGAATTGTTGTACAAAATTAATACATACGAGATTCTAATATATCTTGGTTAATCTCGATGGCCACAGTTTCAAGATCTCCAGTGTAATCATGCTCCAAGTAGATCACAAAAGGACTCTAATAATTTTCGTTAAATAAGTTATATAACTCTGGCACATTCAATTCGGTACTAATAACTCACATTTTCCTGAAGGATAAAGGTAATACAATCATCAATTTTTTTCTTTAAATTAGCTGTTTCTTGAGCCTAATTAAGAATTCGTATTTAGTTTGTTTTAAAAAAATTATTTCATGAATCAAAGTATTATAAGTTTAATAAGATACCTTAAATTCGTGTTCATCTTCACTTTTTCTATGAGCAAACGAAAAAGTAAAATTACGTGTAAGGAATTTGCAAGATCGAATCTAACAATTAGGAAATAAAATTTACGTACGGCGTTGCCTCAGCAAATTCCTGAATATCTGCAATGGCTACTTGGCAAGACATAATACCTGTTTTTGTAGTGATGATATCCAATTTACAAACATCATCCACTTGTTCAGATATCCACGATTTGGACTCCTTAGTGCCAAATCCGATAATTTTATTACTCTTGTCTCGTAAAATAATAGTTTGTTGGTACAAAGCGTCTATATTGACATACTCATTAGAATCTCTCATTTTAATGTAGCAATTCAATCTTAGTAGAATACTTGCTTTTAGTCGCGAACACAATTGCGTCAGGCAAAACAACAAAGACTGCTAATCCCCCTTGCGGTATTATTAGATGGGCGTCATCGCTAGGTGTCATTGACTAGTAAATTATCAAAATCTAAATATTTAAAATTACTTAAAACTTATTTATATGTTTGCTTTCGAGAAGAACTGAAATCGAGTCTTACTTCTGGAATTTTTAAGAGATTTGCTTCATTAATTTGGTAGGTCGAATTATCTATCTTCATCATTAAGACGATATAATAATGCCATTCCGATTGATCTTTGATAAATGCTACGAGGATCAATAGCTCGCTATTCCTGTTTTTAGAGTATAAACATACACGAATTTATTAAAACGCAAAGAATTTTTCAGATATACATGTGTATGTAGCAAGGTTACTTGTTAACATCCATGTCCAATATGACAAGCCTATTTCGATCCTGAAGTCCTTGATCATACTCTGGCAATCTTTCAAGGATCATTTGAATTATATCTTCACCACCTACATACTAATCATATATAAAGAATCAATATTTAATGCGATTCGATCATTTTATTGAAGAAAATTTACCTTAAGGGGGCGCTTCACGTCACTTAATGTCCACTCCTCAATAGCATTTTGAGTCAAAATGTATAGTGAGCTATTTGATATTTAATATAGCAAATCTAAGCTTTTTTGATTAAATGATAAAATTATAGCGATCATTATAAAATAAAATGGGAATTGTACTCTGAATGAATGTAATCCGATTGTCTTGCCAAAGCAGACGCAACTATAGTCGTAGGATCATATCGAACACTATTGCCAAAGAAAAACATTGAGGGACGAGATAATATAGAATATGATAAGGTATCATTAAATGCATCATTGTTGTGAATGAATATTTGAAATAAAGCGGATTTATTGGTTCCAAATATTATAACACTTTGATTAGATGAAGAATCTTTGGATTCTCCGATCTGAGTAATGGAAAAGATTCAGATAAATGAAGAATTCTTTTAATTGATCAATGAAATATCAAGATGCTAATTACCTCATGTAATTTTAGATATACCCCATGATCATTCCCCTGGACTGGCAATTGTAAACTTTGATAATGTTTTAAATCTTCAGCGATGTTAAAGACATTTCTCCAATATCGGACTTGACCTTTTGGCGAGCAAGCAATTAAACCCGCGGTAAGTACATTCCTAGTAGGCGGAACAATACATACAAATGGTTGATTTGCCATTTGTGGTTGACTCTGTTGTGGAGGATTGTTGTCGATTGGTAGTGGAAATTCATCACGAAGAGTCGGTGGCATGAATGGTTTAAAGATTTTCTAAGGATGATTTATGATGGATTTATCGATTTAAATTTAATTTGAAATTGAATGGTTAAACTCGGATTCACGTAACAAATCGACATTTAACCTCTTCCCGATCATCGTGTTTATATATCCAGGAAAAACATTTAGTCTTTGTCACAAGTGCAACCGTCTTGTTATTCGAATTCAAGACCGCGTTGCAAGTAGATTTATCTAGAAAAGAGGAATCAAAAAATGTAGCGTTTGTGGAAAAGGTAAAAAGAAAGGTCAATTGTTCACATACTTATTACTTGAGGTAACTTATCCCGAATTTGGTAAGGAATAAAGGAAAGATATACAACGGAAACATCACCAAATTTGAATTTAATTGGTGTTTCCTGACTCTCCATAATATGAGACGCGTTTGCACTGCGAAAGGGACCAGGGGTGGGAGTTGGTTCAAATAAACGACTCTCGTCTTCAATGACGCTAAAAGAAGACTCGTTAGAGTGTTCAACAGGGAAAAATGTATCTTGATTTGCAAATGTTACGTGTTGAATTATTGAGCCTTGGCCAGGTTCAGGACTTGAACCTTGAGCTGAGGTAGTTGGAATGGGATCAGACGCGAAATATGAAGGTTCTCTCGTGAATTTAGGTCGTGCAATATTTTCTGATGTTTGAGAAAACATGTCAGAGTGGGTCTTTTGTTTGGAAGTATAGGACTCTGTAAACATCTTTTTATGTTGACTTAGAGCCAAAGTAATAAATTAATCAGGGTTTTTTTAAAATATAATGAATGGATCTGCATAAAATAAAATTTTTGTGAATCACGCAGAGGATCGAGAACATAGCACTTTACGTTCGCCAAGAAAAATGAACATAAGACAGGCAACCGTTAAGTATAGATAGCCGTTCCTTTAAGTTTTATGCTGTGACCTACTTATCAAAAAAAAATTTCTCTAGGTTGACGATCTACTTGCAATGCAAAATTGCAATTTAATGAACCTTCCTGAAAACTATCAAATGAAATATTGTATCCATTTACACCCAAGTTTTTTTGTGCAAAGAAGAAATTGATCTTATTATCAACATTCAATTGATCAACCTTTAGATTTCTATCATGCTTTATCATGGCCACAACTTTCATTTGTCGCCGAAGATCATAAAGGAAGAATTGTTGGCTATGTTTTGGCGAAAATGTATGTGTTTTTCTGTTTACCCTAACAAGATTCATCGTTGATTTTTACCTAATGGAATAAGAGTGGATAATAATAATAATAATAATACAGGGAAGAGGATACTGATGATCCGCATGGACATATCACATCGCTTTCAGTAATGCGAACCTATAGAAGATTAGGTATAGCAGAGAAATTAATGACACAATCACGTAAGCTATTTTATGCTTTCTAATTATGAGAGTATGCGTAAGTGAGTGAAAAGCGTGATTAAATTCATTTTTATCTATTAATGGACCATAGAAAAAGCGATGCTCGAAGTCTTCAATGCACGATACGTTTCTTTGCATGTTCGACGAAGTAATCGTGCCGCACTTCAGTTGTATCAGGATACTCTGAAGTTTAGGCAAGTCTAAATCTTGTAATGACTAAATAAATAAAGTCAAGGTCTACATTCTCTATAATTAATCATTTTGATCTACATAAATAGAATACACGATACAGAAGAAAAGTATTACGCGGATGGTGAAGACGCCTATGCAATGCGAAAAGATTTAAGAACGCCAAGTAACGTCGCTTCATCTTCGTCACTGGCAAAAACTAAAACATAATTATTAGAACAACTTGAATATCGGTGTCATTTCTGAATACAGCTGTCCGTTTTGAAAATTTATCAGCTTTTGTGATGATTTATATATATTGTACTTAATATTTAAAATACTGAATTTTCTCTGCTAAATAATATATATATAAAATTAATAAATAAAATATAATCGGAGGACATAATATACTAAATATGATAACAGGGAAATTTAATTAACGGAGAGGTTACAATTTGGCGTTCTATTTCCAAAGCAGTTTGCACCACATAATTTTTGACGTCCCAAAATTTTAGAATTTGATGATCTCCTATTCTGACCAACCTTCAACATCCTTATCATAAACGAAAGCAGGGTAACCCAGATTATGAACTGACAAAATTTGTAAAGCATAACTGTTGCCCAGGTTCAAGCTGTTTTTTTAACCAAATAAAAGATTTCGAGATTCTTTGTTTTATATAATCAGGCGCAAGTTTGACATCTTTTTTAGCCTCCTTTTTTAATCCTAATGAATTGTGATCGAAAGGTTTGTTTAAGAATAGCAATCAATATCGCATTAAGTCAATTTAATCTAAGGTTGAATGCTGGCAATTTCAGTATTCGACTCCTGTTAAATATATTAATAAGCAATTGGTCAATGTGGTAAACCTGTCGCTGGTAACAAAGAAAACCTCCAATTATCGTAGTGAATAGTTTAAAAACCAAAATATGTTCTGCAGTGGAATTAATAGATTTGACGCGTTGAACGCGTTCAATTGTGAATTTAAATGAATTAAGCTTAGTTACGGGACCGTGAATGAGGCAGTTTTTACGTGTTTGTAGCTCCCTAATATAGGGATGCTATAAAGCGTTGCAAGTCGGAATCGTTTTAACGCCATACACACAAATGCTTTTAAAATGTACACCAACCTCAAATACCAAGCATCTAAATAAAAGGTTTCTTTCATCAAATGGTGTTAAGAAAAATAGATTATTTTGTCACACATCATTCACATAGAATTGAACCACCGCATATAGTGTCTCGTTTGTTTCACGTTCATATATCGATATTAAAGTGCACCCAAAGATGGCATCGAATACTCATGATTGTAGTAAATGTGAAGATTGTCAAAAGAATAGTTACTGCGACGAGTGTTTAGTTCACATTACTCATGATTGTAGTAAATGTACTCATTGTCAAGAAAATGACTTCTGTGTTGACTGTATCAAATATCACAAACGAATTTATAACGATAAATTGTCTAGCGGAGATAAAGATATCGACAATCTAATAAAAGAATGCAACGAAATTAATACTTATAAACTTGAAACATTCGAATGGATTCCTTTTGAAAGATTTACCAACGTTGAATATCTTGCAAAAGGAGGTTTTGGGTCAATTTATAAAGCAACCTGGTTGGATGGACCATTGGATTATTTCAAATGGGATCATGAAGAAAATAAATTTATAAGAAGAGGAGTAAGAAAAATTGTGTTGAAATCACTACACAATTCAAAACAAATTACGCCAGAGTTTATAAACGAGGTAAAAAATCAACATTTTCTAAGGTGAAGTTGCTTTTTTATCTCTAACACAACCAAGTTTTCAAAAATAGATTCAGGTTGCTCTTAAATTCAATGTTAATTTTGTGTCTGACTTAAGATATTACGGAATAACTAAAAACCCAGTTACAAATGTATATTCGATAGTGATGGCTTATGCAGAAGATGGTGATCTCCGTAAATATATTAATTCCAACTACGAAAAATTAACTTGGGATCAAAAATTAGACCGATTATATTTTATAATATTTAATCTGACGGTCATTCACAGAGAAGAGTTTGTACATCGTGACTTTCATCCTGGAAATATATTAATATTTAATGGTTGGAATTCATGTATTGCTGATTTTGGACTTAGCATTCAAGCAGATATAGAAAAATCTAAACAAGAAATTTGTGGAGTACTTCCTTATATGAGTCCAGAGGTGCTAAATGG